AAGCCTGCCGAGAGCGACGTGCCAGTCAAGCCAAGCAGGCCTCGCTGATCCTCCTGGCCCGGTACTTGAGCGCCCACCTGAAGGGCGTTGAGCAGAGCCTGGAGGAGGACGGCAGCGAACTGGTCGAGCAGTTGAGGGACGTCCTGGCCAAGCTGGGCGATGACACCAACGTGTAAAACTCGTCCACACCAGAAAATGTACACAAACCATGCTAGCATTAGACACTACAGATGAGGGAAGTAAAAGTAGATGATGAGGATGAATAAAAAGTAGATCCTGGGTGGTTGCACTCATAATGACTGAGTGATGACAACAGGCAGATGCTGTCACAGATGTTACATTATTGTTCATGGGTGAGGAGTATGGTTGAACCCTCCTAATAGTCTCTTACACTAATAGAAAAGAGAGAGATGCAGTATTTCATGTGTTGTGAAAAGTTGTGCCACCAGGCACCACCTACTGTGATGCACCCCTCAGCACCTCCCTGGCTCCTGCAAGACAGGCCATCTGTGCCAGCACAGAAAAGATGTCCCTTTGTTTTGGTTGTTTGAGCCACAGCTGGGGATGGTTGTTAATGAAAAAGGGCTTGCTGGAGTGAGATCAATGCGGATCTTGGTAACTGCAAAACAGAGTAGCGCAACATGTTACTTTTCACATGGGTGTGTAATTAATCCTCGGTAGCTTAGTTGGTAGAGCGCACGGCTGTTAACCGTGAGGTCGCAGGTTCGAACCCTGCCCGGGGAGTTTTCTTTTTTTGCCCATTTGGCTCCAAAAAGCGAGTGTCCTTTTATGGCATGCTACACTTCTGGCTTGTGGTACGCCCCTTCGAGAACATCAAGTTAAAGTTATAAAACATACTTCACACTGGAACGCGTAGGAGCTCGGACCCAGTCCAATCTACCCTTCCGCGTTCCTCCCTGCTACTTCGCTGAATCTAAACACACTCAAGGAACACGTACAGCAAAACCTGCCCTCCTGACCATCTGCCCCTGATCTCCAGTGCCAATGGAGGATGACAAACACAACGTTCGCCAGCCCACCCCCTCGCGATCTCCCCTACAAACTCTATGAGCTGTCATCTCACTCCCCCCCCCAATCGAAGCAGCGTGGAACAGTCACAGAGAAGGGACTTGTGTTGGGGGAGCCGGGAGATGAGAGTA